TATCTTGAACAACGAACCTGCTTCTGATAATTGCAGGATTCGGCTTGAAGCCAGTCTAAACGCTTTTCCTTGTCCAGCTGCGTACCTGTGATTTTCATGACATTCAATGTTCCTTTTATAATTTGAATGTCGAACAGGAGCAACCATAGGAGAAAATTTACTTGAACTGTTATGAAGAATAAGGAGTCGTGTAATTATAGGAAAAGTTGGTATTTTGGCTTCTTAAGAGTTTGAGATTCTTTATCAAAATTACAAGCAACTTTATGACGTGGAGAACATAACAAATTATCGCCTTTGACCGACGTAGTACTTGACAATCGCTGCGAATTAAATATTGATCAGATTCGTGGGAGCACAGACCCGTCCAATATTATAATCAAGATCAGTAATCACGTAATGTCCATTAAAATATCAATATCGTGTCGTGCTTTATCTTTGCAGCTTGTTATCCCTCAACAATTAACAAAATGTTCTTCATATGTATAGAATGCAAGATGCATATGACTCGAAAAGGGCTTGACGCACCCCATGATATTTTTCGTGAATGGGTCCCTCGGTTTCTATTAGTGTAAGATACTCAAACCAATACCAGAAACTTGTCTTTCACGTCGAATGCTGCGTCGAACGCGAAGTGACATTACTGTAGACGTTGGCCTTAACTCTCGAAACAATGACAAAAATAGCCCTGATGCATAGATAAATTATAAATAAATTTTGATGCGAACCATCTTCAATGGGTGCTCATTGAGCGATAAGCTCTTGTTCATTATTCTCTTGTCAATGGGCCCAATAAAATAGTTGGTGGGCATTTCCTACATGATCGGTTGTCGTTTTCTGTCGAAAACTGTAAGAGAACGTGTCTTTTTGTAGAAGGAAATGTTGGCCACATAAGAGTATGAAACTGTTCGTATGTCTTTTTATATAAACAGCAGTCTTGAATTTTTTTTAGCAAATTGATCGTATTTATTAATTGATAAATCAGTCTGTCGCATATTTGCTGAGGGTCTTTTCACTCAATGTGAATGGCTGAGATCGGCAAGCGGCAACTTATGTGCACGTTAGTCGAAAAATTATATGTTTTCGTAAGAACTATCTGCGTTCTTTCTAAGGTGATTAGACAATGGCT